CTTCTTATACCTAAACGCACTATGTATCAGAGGGAAAATTCTTCTGCTCAAGTTTTAGCCGGCTTATCTTATCTTATACCTCCCAAAAGCACTACGTATGAGAGAGAAAAATTCTCCCGCTCAAATATTAGGCGGCTTAGACATATGAAATGGAAAATTCTCTCGTCAAGTTTTAGTCGGGTTATCTTATACTTAAAAGCACTACATGTGAGAGATAAAAATGTTCCAATCAATTGTTTTAGATAACTTATCTTATACCTAAAAGCACTACGTATGAGAAAGAATATTCTTGTGCTCAAGTTTAATCCGACTTATCTTCTTATACCTAAAATCATTACAGATGAGAGATAAAATTCTCCCGCTCATTTGTTTAAGCTGACTTATCATATACTTATACTCATTATTATACCCAAAAGCACTACATATGAGAGAAAGTTTTTCCGTCCAATTGTTTTAGCTTACCTATCTTCTTATTATTCCTAAAAGCATTATGTATATATGAGAGAGAAAATTCACCCGCTTAATTTTTAGCTGGCTTATCTTATAACAAAAAGTGCTACTACGTATGAGAGATAAAACTCTCCCGCTCAACTTTAGCTGGTTTATCTCCTTAAACCTCTAATCGCGGGGTATGAAAGAAAAAAATTATCCGACTCAATTGTTTTAGCTTGATTATCTTATACCTAATATAAAAGCACTACGTATGAGAGAGAGAGAGAGAAAATCTATCGCTCAATTATTGGTCCTCTTATCTTATACTCCCTCTGTCCCGAAAAGGTTCACCATTTTTTACTTTCACGTGGATTAATAAAGTAAAAACCGTGTGGTTAAAATTTGTGCAGAGAAGAGAGAATTAACTTTAGCCACATATTCCTTACTGTAAATGGAAATGACAAATCTTTTTGGGACATCCAAAAAAGGAAATTTGACAAACCTTTTCGGGACGGAGAGAGTATATACCTATAGCGCACTACATATGAGAGAGATAATTTTTACGCTCAATTATTAGTTCGTTTATCGTATACATAAAAGCACTATATATGAGATAGTAAGCTTTTCCACTCAATTATTAGCCCGCTTACATTATTATATCTAAAAGCACTACATATGAGAGAGAAAATTCTCCCACTCAATTATTAGTTTTTTAAAGTGATGTAACTTTTAACTTTGTACTCCGATTGTTACAAAAATATATAACACAATTCACAAAAATAATTTGTACTCCAATTGTTACACAAAATATATCACAGAAAAGTGGCTATGTGTACACTTTATAGTTAGATTTTCTTTTAAATTTTATATATGTAATACTGGTGTCATATGAAAGATCGTAAGACTAATCAATTTTATATATGCTTAATGAAAAATTAGAGAAAAAATGGAAAAGTGAACGATTTAAAGTAAATAAAGAGTTGTAAGAGAAGTAGTTAAAAATGATCCTACACAATAACTTCAGTCGCATTTGTCAAAAAAATATAATTTCAATAAAGCTAAACTTAAATAGATCGAAGCAGTTTCAAACAATAAAAAAATGATTAATCGATATTTTCATTTTGCCCCTTTTTTCTTAAAAAGAAAGAATAATAATCGTAGGGTTGATGAATTCAAACTACTCATTGTCTTCGATTTAGATCAACTCAAAACAGAACTAAATAGACCAACTCAAAGTTTTATTTTATTACTAATTAGATCTTCATTTGCGGATTTTTATATATCAAACCGGTGCACATCAAATCATAAAATACTTTAAGAAAAAATTCTTAAATAAATTTAGTATTTTTGGACTTTTCCCTTTCATGGTCTGATTTTGATTTTAGAGACCGTTTAATCGTACTGAAATTGGTTGAATTTGTTGAAATGGATGAAACTTTGAGAAAAGTGGTTGAATTAGTTGAATCTATTTATTTATCAATAAATTTAATTTAAAATACTTTTATTAATGAAATAAAGAAAAACATTATATGAAAAGTAGTTAAAAATGAACAGCTACAGTAACTTCAGCCAATTCAGACAGCAAAATAGATCAGAACATGTATATAAATAATTTTAAGCATAATTATAGAGACTGTTAATAAATTATATTTTTATATATTCAATATTGGTCTCATTTGAAAGATCACAAAAAATTATAAATTTTGATATATTTTTTGTAAACATTGAAACAAAAATGAAAAAGTTACAACACTTTAAAGAAAATTGGGAGTTTTTATAGCTTGGGCCCACCAATGTATTTCTCTATATTGCTCACCTCTATCGCATTGGAGTCTCGTACACGGAAAGCAAAAACAGCCATGTGGCATTGGTATAACGAAAGAGTGAATTAAGAAGAGTTTGACACATATGATTCCTTAAGGGTAAAATGGTATTTATATGAGCTATCTCTTTTCTTATATATAAATAAATTTGACTGTATTCTTTAGATACTTCTATGTTATATGGCGTTGGTAAATGATCATAATAAAGTTGTTGATATATTATACATTCTTGCGGTAAAAATTTTGCTTCGTAAAAGAATTTGGTAAAACTTATAGTATATTTTGGTAATTTATTAATTTTACAACACTTCATATTATTTAAATTCATTATTATTTCTGCTTTTGTTTCAGCATTTACTATGTCTCTGGCTACAAACCATCTTTCTCCTATAAATTCTCTTTTTAATACTATGTTAAATATATTTATCATATCTTTCCAGTGTTTAACATGAGCAAAAGCTTGTTGTTTTAGTTCATGATTTATTGATTCCATCCAAAATGCTACCTTTCCAATTAGTGTTTTTGATATTAATTCATAAACATAGTCTAAATCTTCTGTATGAGCTGAATTCATTAATGCTATGTACATTCCTAAATTCCAATCATTTATTCTTCTACTAATTTCTTGTTCATCATAAACATTATCTAAGTTTAGGAAATATCCATTTAAATTTAATCCTTGTGACATTGATCCTACAAAATCTCTAAATTCGTTTTGTTGTCCTATTGGTATATGTTTTGGTATTTTTGTTCTTTTCTTAGTAACTAATTCTAAATTTGGGTCTAACATCTCTTCTTCAGGATAGTCATCAGCATCTTCATTAACTATTTCTTCTGTATCAGCTTCTGTTTCTATAGGTCTAGTATATTCTTCTTCCACATCACTTTCCGGTTCATCTTCTATTATTGCATTAATATTTTTCATTCTTCCTAATGCTTCAATAATTTCATTATTTTCTTCTATTTCATTATAATATTCTTCACCTTCTAATTCTTCTATATAATTTACTATATTTATTTTTTCATCATCTTCACTTGTTTCACTAGTGCTGATATTCGTTTTATTTGTGTCTGAGTTACTATAATTTTGCTTATTATTTTTTGCAATTTTTAATTCATATAATTCTTTTTTCAATTTTTCCATTTCTTCCATGATTTTATTTACTTCATCTTTTGTCTGTTTTAATTCTAATCTTGTTTGTCCAAGTTCTCTTTTATTTTGTTCTTGTATTATAGCTAGACTATTTCGACAACTGATAATATGTTGGTTTATATCCTTGTTATATATTAATGATTTTTCTGCTATAAATTGTATTTTTCTTATATGTTCGTCCATGATATTACAATCCTTTTGGGGCTCTGATACCAACTCGGATTATTAGTTCAGTTACCAAATTCTTTTACGAAGCAAAATTTTTACCGCAAGAATGTATAATATATCAACTATCTTAATACGGGACTTAACATATACCTGAACATATATATACACTCTGACCTCCGGCGATCGGGGGGCGGCAGCACCTGCTCGCACCTCCAAGTTCCGCCCCTGAAAGTAGGCATCTACTACCATTTAAAAAGAAGCCGGATTCATGAACTAAGGATGTTTTTAATTGGATTGTAATTTTTGGGTGTAATCTGATCCGGTAGATATGTGTTTTATGAGTATTTCACCATTGTGGAAGTCCAATATGGTCTATTTAAGTCTGTTCTGGTCAAGTCTTGGTCTAAAATCAGTCCAATTTAAAACATCTCAAATTTTTATTTTAATAATGACAATTACACGAATTTTTATGTGATGGGTACTAAGGAGTATTTAACATAAAATTAAGTAAAACATAGGCAAACAATCTAATCCTCTACATGTTTAAAAAATCTAAGTTAAAAGTTTATTTAAACTTTGTCTTAAAGACAATAAATTATTATAAACTCAAAAACCTAATAGCGTACTTATACGGTTATACACTTATAGCAGTCTGTTAAATACAAATACACAATTACTTCAATTACTCAATAATTTCATTAAATAAAAACAACCAAGTTTGTAATTAAAAAGAGAAAGGTCAGAAAACCTAGAGGATGGAGGCTGCGAGCGCGGAGGCGCGGTGGGGGGTTGGCACGCTGGAGGCGATCAAGGCGTCTTCCCTTTGTAGCGGGGAGAGTCAGTTGCCTATTGCGTATTGGAAACTCCCCATGCCGGAGTTAGACGCGATTGAAGGGTTCCCTCTTCCAATCCTCTGGCGGTGAGACTTTGTAGGCACTGCTCAAATCCGGAGCCCCTTCAGTCACGGTCTCCTGCAAACCGGGGGCTGAGCTCCTCTGCCGTATGAAGGATAAGGCTCCTCTCTTTCGAGGACAATCTCAGACGGGGTAGAGAGTCTTCTAAAGTCCTGTTCAGATTTTAGCCTCCCCGTTTAGTGAACATCAACGTGGGCCTAACCCATTAAGCAAATGGCAGTTAGGCTCTCATCAATTTTGACAGGGCAGAAATTATTCAAAAGTCCCTCTTTCAAAAGGAAAGTATTGAAGTTTACTGGAGTACCATTTTATTCAGCTTTCTATTATTCCTTAGCTTTATTTAGCATAGCTTGTATTATTGTCCTAGTCACTACTACGTAGGATTCCCTTGCATGGCACATGCAACCTGCTTTCTCTCACCTATGTATTAATTAAATAGGACCACCTCTCCCACTGTAATAGGTAGTATATATGTGTGCGTATGCACGTTGAATAAAGATAACGAGAGAAGCTTAAACTCTCTCCCAGATATCCTAAGGCTCATACAATTAATACAATTATTCTTTTTATGAATTTCTATCATTTCTATCATGGTATCAGAGCCTAATTCTTGAAAATAAATTATTCCCATATAAATCCTTTTGCAAGATATTCTTCTTCTTGCAAAATCATGGCGGTCGATGATGAGACCAAAACTAGCGGCGATACATCCAAAGACATAGTCATAGATTCTATGTCACCTTATTTCATTCACTCTGGAGATAAGCCCGGAGATGTTCACGTAACCACAATTCTTCGTGATGGAAACTATGGAGATTGGTTCGATGAGATGAGCAACGCTCTTTATGCAAAGAACAAGTTCGGGTTCGTAAATGGTGATATTCTGATGCCCAAGTCCGATTCACCATACCTCCCGTATTGGCAGAGAGCAAATGCCATTGTAAAGGCTTGGTTGAATAGTAGTATGGAGGCTGAGCTTAGACAAAGTGTGAAGTTCAAAACGGCACACGAAATATGGGTTGATTTGAAGGAAAGGTTCGAAAAGGACAGTGCTCCGCGAGCTTATGAGCTCCGATGTTCCCTTGGTGCCATCAGACAAGACGGACAATCCATATCCGCCTATTTTAGCCAATTGTGCCGCATATGGGATGAAATGGCCTCTATCAATATACAAGCCAGTTGCACTTGCGGTAATTGTTCCTGCAATGTCTCTAAATTGATAACTGAATCTCGTGATAGAGAGCGTCTTTATGATTTCTTGATGGGCCTTGATGATATTTATGGGCATCTAAAAACCCAAATCTTGGCTACGAGGCCGGTTCCATCACTCAGCACCGCATACCACCTTATTTCGGAAAGTGAACAACATCGGTCCATTGCATCCGCTTGCAAACCCAGTGGTGAAGGGACGGTGTTCCACACACAACCAAAGAAGGACATAGTCCTAGGCAGGCGATCAAACCCAAAAGAAGGTCGGTCTTGCAGCCACTGTGGAAGAACCAACCACACGTACGATGCATGCTTTGAGAGAATAGGCTATCCGCCCAACTGGAATCTCAAACATAAAGAAAGTAAATTTGGAGGACGGGCCCCACATCAACGAATTGGCTCAGTGCAAGGAGGAGGCAGAGAAAATAATTTTGAACGTAGACAATCAATTCCTCGTGCAGCTCATGTGAACAACAGACCCACTCATGAAATTGGACTCTCTGAAGACCAATTGCACATGCTAGCCAAATTAATGAAGGATGAGCTACAGGACCACGTGCATCCCCCATCCTCTTTTGGTATCAACATGGCAGGTATTTTTTCAAAGGGTCGGTCGTGGATAATAGACTCCGGGGCTAGTGAACATATCATTTGTAGTAGTGATGGTCTCATTAACATTCAAGCTCACACTTCGATACCATCCGTAAAAATCCCAAACGGCGATTCAGCTCTTGTTCAGGCGATTGGTAGTTTACAGTTACCAAATGGATTTCATCTCCAAAGAGTCTTATACATACCGAAATTCCACTGCAACCTACTATCGGTGAATCGACTCATAAGCGACTTAAATTGTAAAATTACATTTATTAATAATTTGTGTATTTTGCAGGAATTACCCTCGAGGAAGCTGATTGGGGTGGGTCAAAGCCGTGATGGTCTTTATTATTTGGATTCATCAAGAGATGGAGGAGCGGCAATGTCAGTTTCTCCTAATCTTGATTTGTGGCATCAACGTTTGGGACATGCATCGGACATAAAATTACATCATATCTCTTTTCTCCAAGGACTAGGTCGGAGTAATAATTTTTGTGATCCCCGCATACGAGCTAAACAGACTCGTTTACCTTTTCCTGTCAGTACTATTAAAACAACTTGTTGTTTTGAATTAATCCATTGTGATATTTGGGGAGGATATAAAAGTGAGTCTATTTCCGGTGCACGCTATTTCTTGACTATTGTCGATGATTTTACTAGAGCCGTCTGGGTATATTTAATTAAAGCCAAATCCGAAGTTCCCTTGGTTTTAATTCAGTTTTTCAACATGGTGAACACACAATTTGAGCAAAGAGTCAAACGGGTAAGGGTTGACGACGATGCATAATTTCAAACTAATGCCCTATTTGAGTACTATAGACAAAATGGGATATTATTGGAGACATCTTGCACTGACACACCACGACAGAATGGTGTTGTTGAACGGAAACACCGACACATATTAGAAATTGCTAGAGCTCTACGCTTCCAGTCTGGGTTACCCATTAATTTTTGGGGAGAATGTATTATTACAGTAGTCTATATCATTAATAGACTGCCATCTCCCACCATCTGAGATTGAGATTAGCCAGCAGGCCGAGGGATCAGTTGCCAAGAAGAGAAAGACACCTGGACTAGGGAGTACTTATTCACACCCAAATGAGCAAGATATGGAGTTCGCGATGTCAAAAAACGGATTAGCGGCGGGTTCTGGTTCCCAGACCCGCCGAGAGCAATGAGTTGCCTAAGCTGGAACTGTCGAGGGCTTGGCAACCCGAAGACAGTTCAAGCTTTGGTGGACGTGGTTCACCTGAAGAGGCCAGCAATTGTTTTTCTGATGGAAACGTTTTCTAATAATAATAAAATTGAATGGGTTACGCGCAAATTAGGCATGGATCATTATTTTGCGGTAGCCAGCAGAGGTCATAGTGGCGGTTTAGCTATGATCTGGCGGGAGGATGTTCGGATTCATGTTGTTGGATCCTCAAACCACTTCATTGATACGTACATTAATCTAGAAGATGGGGCGCCTAGTTGGCGTTTCACCGGTTTCTATGGTTGTCCGGAGAGGCCTAGACGGAAGGAATCTTGGAATATTCTTAAATCCCTAAGCTTGGGTCCTGATCGTCCGTGGCTTGTAATGGGCGATTTTAATGATATGATGTTTGCTACTGAGAAACGCGGTAGGGTTGATCATCCTCCTGGGCTTTTGAGGGGCTTTCGGGAAACAGTGTGGGCTTGCGGTTTAAAGAATTTTTCCTCCAATGGTTATCAGTTCACCTGGGAGCGTTGGAGAGGGTCTTCGAATTGGGTTGAGCAAAAACTTGACAGAATATTGGTTTCTGAAAGCTGGCTTGACATTTTTGGGGAAGCCTCTGCTGAATCTCTTGAAGGGGCACCTAGCGATCACATGATTCTTTTTATAAAACTTATCCCTACACAGAACTCTCGAAGGAGGCGAAACTTTAAGTTCGAGAACGTTTGGTTGAGAGAGACAAAATGTAGGGAGATTGTTGCTCGCAGTTGGGGTCTCGGTCGTGACCTGGGGATAACCGGCCAGGTAGCCACGTGTGGGAAAGCAGTTGGGGAGTGGGGCCACAATAAATCGGGATCTTACGGGAAACGCATCGCTTTTTGCGAAAAGAGACTCACTTTCCTTCGAAGAAGATGGGACCCGTGGGGTATTAATGAATTCAATAAGGTGAAAAAGGAATACCTTGATCTACTTGAGAAGGAAAACACTTTCTGGCGACAAAGGGCTAAAGAGTTCTGGTTACAGGGAGGTGATCTGAACACACGTTTTTTTCACAATTAAGTCAAACAGAGACGGCGGAAAAATAAAATGGAAGGGCTCCGATTAGATGATGGAAGGTGGGAGAATGACAAGACTGAAATGAGCAGATCAATTGGGGATTATTTTAATAAAATTTTTACCGCAGGCAATGGAGAAGCTAACTTCGTTCTTGGATGTGTCCAACGACGTCTAGATGGTCAACACAATGCCAGGCTCCTTAGTCCGGTGCACAGTGAGGAAGTCAAAGAGGCGATTTTTGATATGTTTCCAGATAAATCTCCAGGCCCAGATGGGATGAGCCCAGGTTTTTACCAGCATTTTTGGGATGTGGTGGGACCGGATATTGTTAATTTTTGTAGACAAGCCTTTGAGACAGGTAAGCTCCCAGACCACATTAATCATACTAATATTGTGCTCATTCCTAAAAAAGATAAACCCGAGGTTATAATTGAGTGGAGGCCTATTGCTTTATGCAATGTGATCTACAAAATTTTCTCAAAATTGCTAGCTAACCGTATGAAAAATATTCTTCATTTGTGCATCTCTGAACAACAAAGTGCGTTTATCCCGGGTAGATGCATTGTTGATAATATCATGCTAGCTTTTGAGTCTCAGCATTTCTTGAAGTGTAAGAGGCAAGGGAAAATGGGTCTAATAGGTCTTAAACTAGATATGAGTAAGGCCTGTGACCGGGTTGAATGGCCTTTTTTGGAGGGGATGATGAGAAATTTGGGCTTTCATGAGAAGTGGATAGGACTTATTATGGAATGTGTCACGTCTGTTTCCTATTCTATTCTGTTCGATGATGGGATGATTGAGTTGGCTTCACCAGGGAGGGGTCTGCGTCAGGGGGACCCTCTTTCTCCTTATCTATTTTTATTGGTGGCGGAGGGTTTAAGTGCTTTGCTACAAAAATACGAGTCTGTTGGTCGTTTGCATGGGGTTTCTATTGCTCGAGGGGCTCCTATGATCTCTCATCTATTTTTTGCAGATGACAGCTTACTTTTCTTTAGAGCTTCACATGATGAGGCATCCTTAGTGAAGGAAGTTCTGGCTGATTATGAAGCCGCGTCAGGCCAGGTAATCAATTTTAATAAATCAAAAGTGTTTTTTAGTTCCAATGTGCCGTTGGATATCCGAGAGGGTTTGATCGAGTTGTTAGGGGTTGGAGCAGCAGGAGAGGATGAGAAATATTTAGGCTTACCGGCCTTGGTGGGGAGGAACAGGAAAAACATCCTTAGTTACCTCAGACAGAGAGTGATAACCCGAATAAATAACTGGAATAATAAATTTCTTTCCAAAGCAGGGAGGGAGGTCCTATTGAAATCTGTTATTCAGGCGATGCCTACTTATTCAATGAATGTTTTTCTCTTGCCTGTTGATCTTTGCCGGGAAATACAAATTGTGATGAATGGTTATTGGTGGAAAGGAAAAACAGGAAAAGGCTTACACTGGAAGGACTGGAATGCTCTTTGTGCTCCCAAAAAGGCTGGTGGGTTGGGTTTTAGAAAACTTCGGGATTTTAACATTGCTATGCTCTCTAAGCAGACCTGGAGAATTTTCACGAATCCTGACACACTAGTAAGCAGAGTTTTTAAAGCTCGATATTTTCCCAATGGGGTTTTTTTATCTCCTAAACCAGGGCATAACCCTTCCTTTGTATGGAGGGTAGGTGATGGCCTTTCTATAAACATTTGGGAGGAACCGTGGCTTCCAGACAAGGATAACCCGAGGATTATTTCTAATAAATATGAGGAATTGCAGGGGGCGGTGGTGGCAAATTTACTTGAAACAAATGGCAGAGCGTGGGATTTTGATATTATTAATGACATTTTTGAAGAAAGGGATGCGACTCTTATTAAGGGAATTCCATTAAAGAGAAATCCTATTGCAGATTCTTTTTGTTGGAGATGGGAGGATAATGGCCAGTTTTCGGTCCGGAGTTGTTATAGAAGACTGGTGGGTGAGGTGGGGGGTCAACAAGGGCTGGAGTGGGCTGCTATGTGGGAGTTTAATCTTCCACCTAAAATTAAAATATTTTTTTGGCAGGTTTGTAGCGGCTGTCTCCCCTCGAGACTACATTTGCAGGCACGAAGAGTGGAATGCTCGGGAAGCTGTGGAATCTGTGGCGAAGCACCGGAGTCAATGGAACATTTATTCAGACAGTGTTCTATTGCAAAGGACACTTGGATGGAGCTTCATTGGCAGTGGTCAACTGCAGAAGATGGCTCCTTTGCGGATCAAGTTTGCGAGGAATTTCGGCGTAGGAAGAAAGAAGACTTAGAACGGATGGTCTGGGGCTGCTGGACATTGTGGAGTGAACGGAACTGCGGGGTGTGGCAGGGAGCTTCATCTTCAGCGAGACAGATGGTACATCGAGCCCGGGCTTTGGTTGAAGGATGGAGGCAAGCTCAACTGCAGGTTCATCGGGGTAGACGACAACATCCAATCCAGAAGGTGCGAGCAACTTGGAGCAGACCTGCGCAGGGGAGCTGGAAATTAAATGTAGATGCGGCGACACGAGATAACAGGTGCGGATTGGGATGGTGTTTGAGGAATTCAGAGGGACAGTTCGTGGCTGGAGCTTCTAAACCGTGGCCAGGCAGAATGTCTTCCTTCGGAGCTGAGCTGGTTGGAATACGAGAGGCCTTGAGCTGGTTAAAAGACTTCGGGGTCATCCCGGTTGAAATAGAATCTGATGCAGCGAGAGCAATTTCTGAAATCCTTGATGGCTCGAGCTGTTTTTTGGTGGGTCTGTTGAGAGATGATATTAGAGACATGGCGACATCTTTTTCGATTATTTCCTTTAGCCATATTAGGCGTTCAGCGAATAAGCTTGCCCATTTGCTATCACAGGCGGCTTGTTCTTTGTCTGAAGCGCAATCTTTGGTTAATTTTCCACCTTCTATTATTGTATCGGCGTTAACCAACGATTTGATTAATTTTAATTAAGTCTCTTCCTTTCAAAAAAAGGAGCCAAATTATGACCACATACGAGTATTTGGATGCTTAGTATATGCACATAATAATAAACAGAAGGACAAATTTGGCGAAAGGGGGAGTCCTTGCATTTTTGTTGGATATCCAAATCGACAAAAGGCTTATCGAGTATTTGACTTGCATAAACGTTGCATATACAGCTCTCGGGACGTAACCTTTTTTGAAAAAATATTTTCCGTTCAAAATCCAAATGGATGATGAACTTAATTTTGGAGAAATAATTGATCAGGTCTGCGGCTACATTACAAATTCCAGCCCAGAAGTTGTCAACCCAGATTCATCCCACCACGTTCCTGCCATTCGTCTCACTCAGGTAAGCGGTCAACTCCAGCTCATGGACAAAAGCGGTGGCCCCACAAATGAAGATAAGATGGACGATATGGAAGAC